AGCCGGCGAATTTGTTTTTTATCCAATGATTCTGGATTAAATGTGTTGTACGCATCTTTCTTGCCTATAAAAAAATTAAAGATAAAATTTTAATAAAAATAAACTCGTTTTAATTGCGTATTGTATGTTTCTCATCATGCATTTAGTTCTTACCGAAAAACATGACTAAACCGCTTATGAGGGTTACGTTGCCATAACGCCACGTTATGAGTAATATTTCCCATATTCGATGCAAAAAGTCTAACAGGAATCCGATCAAGAATATTTTTAGACTGGCCGCTGGAAAAACAATCTACACAGTACAAAAAAAGATCAAGTTGATTTTGTTTTATTACTTTTTACACGATCGATTATCTATGTACATAATACTTACAAACTCGGTCAAAAATTTGTTTATTATAATACAACTTATAACAAAGGTAACACCGTTAACGAATGCCATTAAACAGAAAAAAAACTGTTTGTAAGATTTAGACTTTGTATATTCCCCATCATTTTCTTCTTCTTGTTTTTGATTTCGTGCATCATGTATTATGATATCAGGTGGTGAATAAGCGGGCGGATCGATGGGAGGCGGAACTGTCAATACTGGTTGTGGCGGAGTTACAAATTGACAAGATAAGTTTGTATTGGAAGTGTGTGATTGTTGTAATGGGTCATATTGTGAGTATGATGGTAAAAGACTCATTGAAATAGATTGATATAAGTTGGCGAGTGTATTTATAAATGTAATATGATTGCAGTTTATGAATGTAATCTATGAGTGTGATTTATGAGTGTAGTTTATGGATTTATAAGTGTATATTTACAATTGTTATTAGCGATGCATATATGAGTAAATGCATAAGTTTATGGTCTTGGTCTAATTTATGAAATAAAATATTTTCTCCTGTTAATCATTCAACGGCACGCTATTTTTTAATTCGGACATCGACGTTATATACTTTTTTAAAACCCAAATCAAGCCTCATCTATATTTTTAGTAAAAGCGAGGATTTTGTCACACCGTTACACTATGCGAAGGGAAACAATGCTAATGAGGTAAGAATGCAGTGAAAGTATGCACCTATGAGCGTTCAAAGTGTAACCGAAATGCCATTTTCGGATTCGGGCGACATCTCACCTGGAACAATATTAAGATTCTCAACCTAATATGGGCGGCGGATTATACTACCCATTGTTATGCCTAGAACGTCTAAATAATTTTACATGTTCTTTATACGGCAAATAAATACCAAGCTAGCAGATAGTCAATAATGTTTTATTCGGTACTAAAAAGACAACAAAACAAATTAATTCCTTGAGGCAAGACTGGAAATTTCGAGTACTCGACTAAACCAATCCACTATTAATTAAATGGCTTTATCAAATAGCGAGTGCAACTAACAACAAACCGTTTGTGTGTTCAAACTTTTACGCTACAAAAGTTTTACAACATTTATACTACGACCAAAACGTGCGTGAATGGGATGTATGTATTATAAGCTTTGTATGTACAAGTACCGTATTCCTTTTATCGGCATGACATAAATCATACAATTAATCTCAATTATGCAAATAAACGGGTACATTGTAAATCATACCCTAAAGTATCACTTTTATTGTGTGGCTATGCTTTATGAATTAACTAAAAATAAGATCGACTGTTCGGCGTTGCGTTACGTTGATCGTAACACGAAATATCAAAACTAGCCATTTTTTTGTCGGATAACATACCATTCATAGATACGAAGACGATGGTGCGCAGGTCAATGAGTATAAGAAAGGACATCACGGCAAACTACTATGTTGTTGTGTTTAAAATAGAGATTGCACGTCTTTGACCAGACCATAATGGTAAAGCGTCCACGGGGATAATTAATGGATCAACCAGGCAGGCAACAGCACAGTTCGTCTTTATCATTTCACTTTCGAAAGGCTCTTAAAGGAATTAGTTACCTACGTATTCTATAAATGAGGTTATAAAGCTGATTTCCACATATGTAAATATATTTTCAGAAATGTAATTCAATCTGAACTCGCATATTGTTGCATTCTACGTTGACGATTTTTGCAAATAGTATTATTAGTTTCTGAGTAGTGTATAACCAAATATATATCAACAATTGATATCTATTGTTTCCGCACCTTCTCTTTCTTCTCTATTAGAAGTTAGCGTTTTGATGTTCTAAGGCCCCATTAATAGTAAGACGTAATTTGATTATTACTTGATTATTGTTATCAAATAGAGCTGTGCAATATGATATAATTAGCTTCCAGCTTTGTGATAGTTCGATGATATCGGATTACTCTTTACGTAAAGACGGATGTAAATTGGTTCAACTTACAACTTTTAGAATATTCTATTAATTTATATTTGTAATTTAGACATATTTTGGAGAAAGTAGGTTAGCGTCAAAGTTCGGAAATATAAACCGTTTATGCTTTTGGTCATTGATGTATTTATGAGGTAAATAGTGAAATTTTTTTATAGGCAAGAAAGATGCGTACAACACATTTAATCCAGAATCATTGGATAAAAAACAAATTCGCCGGCT